TAGGCACTGTCTCTCTAGCTATTTGAATGAAGCAATAACTGATAACTTAAGTTTCGAAGTATAAATGTCTCTAATCATGCTGAATGACAATTAAAAAAATATTTCTCCTTAGCAATCCAATAAGTGCATGAATATTATCTGGGAGGTTTTTTGTTTGTTTTATTCTTATATATAACTGTTTTCCCCTGAGCATGGAAAATTTAACACCTCTCTAATTATGGCACTGGAACTATGAGGAACAATCAACTTTGTTTTCTTTTCCTATTGTATTATTTAAATGTCACCTATTATTTAGAAAATACTGAAATTTCAACGTCCAAAGTGATTCCATATGATTGCAGGGGGGTAAAAAAGTGTATGTTGACCAGTGAAGTCTGCAGTGAAGTTCCCCCACCTGATAAATTGTACAATACCAGTTCATCTTCAGAAACAAGAGAAACAAGAAAATGTTACTCCTTTCCTTTCATTAGCTCCTCGTTTTTTAAAATGCTTTACAAATTTTCTGTCTTATTTGCAAACTCCAAGCCAAACTCTCCACTAATATAAATAAGTAGAACTTAGAGGTCTTAATTTTCTTGACAACAACTTGCAAATTCCTCTCTTCAACTCCATCTCATGTGTTTCAATAAGATATAGGTATTTAGAAAAAAAATAAATTAAACTATCATTGACCAACTTAGATAAGAATATAAAACCAGCTAGTCATTTTCCTTCTAAATCCTTCCGCATTATCCATTCTCTGTAATTGAAAACATTTTTATAATACTCCCTGTACTTGGGTAATAAAATATTTTTCAACATGTTAACTTTTCCTTACCCAGTATCATTAAAATAATTAAATCCTAGCATCTTAAAACCATAATATCCCTTCAAGTCCGTTATAATTTATCTCAATTGATTTTCATTAATCTATTATTATTCCTTATCACATTTGGGTACCAGCAGATCCAGTCTTAATATGAGGTCTACCAATGAAACACACACATTAGCATGTTGAATTCTTGCATATTAAGTATGCTTGAAAAACATGCAGAAAACACTGAAGGCATGTAATAGTAGCAGCTCCATCAGTTGTTATGGAATGTAGTTTAGACTTCATAAAAATAAATGCATTAAATATAAAACCCAAACCACCAGGTTTATTCCATAAGCAGGTAATGGTTTCCTTATAATTCTACTAAGTCTTTCGACATCCCTGAACAAATTGTCTTTACCATGCAGACAGAAGCTGACTCCTTATTGTCATGATCAAACATGAAAATTTAAATGAGCTGGTGAGAATCAAAAGTCCTTTTGAAAATGGTAAAAGTAATCTCCCGTTAAAGGTGCAGATATAAAAAACATTCTAGAAAAGGTCTGAATTGGACTTGAATCAAGAGAACTTTAATCTATCTGATTTCAGGAACTTCACATTTGATTCTTTTCCTTAATCACTTAATGTATGATTTGAAAACTGGATCACAGCTATAATGAAGTGAAGGGATCCTAATGACTTAATTACTGTCTTGGAACTGAAATAGAGTAACAGTTAAATACAAGTGTGTTTGCTGTTATTTATTACCACCATCATAATTTCATTATTATTTAGTTTTGTCTCTTAAATCTACTAAATGCATTATTACTATTTGAACTGTAGGGAATGAATTATTTATTTTTTCTTAGTATTTATCCGCTATTGTAATTAGCTCAGAATAGCTAGTAAATAACACGGCTTTCAGATGAAACATTCCTTAAAAACAAGACACTGGACCAACCTTGTGCTCAGTGATACAACAAATGAATGGTATTTTAAAAATGTTAGCACTGAGAACTGCATGATCCAGTCTGCAAGCTGATACTGCAGGATAAAAACTGGAAGAAAGTTGTGCTAGTGAGGGGCAACCTGGAAGGTGGTAGCTCAGTGGTGAGAGTATTCAGCCCTCAAGAGTCTCCAGCTGCTTTGGTTAATTTATTTTGTAGAGCTTTGTGACACACACTAGTCATTACTGGTCTATAGCTCCTTCCCAGACCTGTTGCCTGTGGTGTGTTTTTTACCATGTGCGAAGTCTGTTCTGTTTCCTCCGCTTCATAGTCTGTGATGCTATCCAATACCCTCCGTGTCTTAGTGCTTTCAGCCTGTCTTCAGATTCCTTCAGAATCTGCATTGTGTATCACATGCTTCATCCTCCCACCTTCAAAACATAGACCTGATGCACCTCTCCTTGAGATGCAGGTCTCATTCTTTTGCACCACGGTATTCACAGGGCTCATCTGACAGTACTCATTAGTACAGTTAATCATAAAGAAGTAAACAGAGTCAATCATACACTGCCGTGCTGAATGTTTCCTCAGCTTGCTTGTCAATTTGCATTATTCCAGTGAGCTCCAACACCATAAGTAAGGTAATGTACAGAGACTTAACTGTACCTGCTAAGAGAGGGAAATAGTGATGGCCGTGGCTCTAAGATGAAAGCAGAGGGAAGCACCAGCACTGGTCAGGAGACAGCAATTGGGCTCTGGAGAACAGGGTTAGAGTTGGGGATGTTGATGACAGAAAGCAAACGGGATTGATTTGGGTGAGCTACATAGCTGTGAAGCTGTGAGGTGGGAATGCAGCAGCATTGAGTGCTGGAGGACATGGGGCGGTGGCAGGGTGGGGGCCATAGGCTCAGGGCAGTTGAACAGCACTCGGTGGGGCATGTCTGGCTATGGGGGCGAAAGCTTCCCCTCACTGCCATGTGCTGGAGCCCAGCAGCCCCTGCTCAGCTTCCCAGTGCCAGGCCGTGGGCCCCCCAAAGCCTATCCACAGCTCTGGTTGGGGCAGAAAAGGCCTCAGACATGGCACAGGCCGGGGGAGGTCACTCTGTCTAGGGGAGTATGGCGGCGGCTCTCGGAGCTGCCAGGGCCTGTGCAGCTCCCCACAGCAGCTAGCCCCCTCTTGCCTGCAGGGGAGGGTTATCCCGACCTTCCCAGGGCGTCTTCCCTCAGGTTGGGTTGTTTACCCAGTGCGCAGTACGTCAATATACACACAGAGCAGTGTATTTATTTATTCATTCCATGTCTGCGCAGAGTGGGGTGCTACGTGGCAGTTCCACAAAGCCAGGACCCTGCACAGAACTTCAATGTATTTATACACTTATGATTACAGGCACACCCATTTACTGTAGTGACCACTGGGCAGTTTCTTATCATGTTGTCCCTTACTGGTTAACAACATGCCTCGTCTCTATTGAAAGTTACGGGGTCTTTTAATTCTTCCGCACAAGGCTGAAAGGAGTGGGGGGGACACATGACATCTTCTTGATCTTAAATTGAGTCGGTGGTCGCATTCTCCCCTGCCTACACCTTTATCTTTTCCTGCTACTGCTGATTTTCTTCTCAGACAACCATCCATGTTGTGGTGCTTTCCCGGGGCAGGGTGATCCATCCACCCCCCCGTCAGTCTTGTTACCTCTACTCCGAGATCACAGAATCATCTAGGTTGGAAAAGACCTTAAAAATCATCCAGTCCAGCCATCAACCCAACACTGACAGTTCCCAACTACACCAGACCCCTCAGCGCTAAGTCAACCCGACTCTTAAACACCTCCGGGGAGTAACTCACTCCCTTATCCCCAGGTTCCTTCTTTCGATCTCAACACTTTTACATCGGTGACTCACCCGGTCACTGTTCGATTTACAAGTTTACAATGAGCACAGCAGAAAATTTCCTACAGACATCAACGGGGCTCCCGCCCGTGCCCGGTCTCACCGACCCCGCACTCGCTGTCCAACGTTTTGCTGTTTTACACGGCAGAGTCGCCATTTCAGCCCTTCCGACAGCCCTGCCCCGCGCTCCCGCCACACGCCGCGGGATGGGAACGGGCGGGACAAGGCGGGGTGTGTGTGTGTGTGCCCACGCCGCGGGTGGGCTCGGCGGCTGGTGGTGGTGGGAGAGCAGAGCGCCCCGGGGGTGGGGCAGCAGCGCGCAGGCGCGGAGTGGGGGGGGGAAGGCGAGCGGCCGTTGCCCC